AAACCATGCAGATGTTTAATTTAAAATTTTAAAAGCTAATAAATAAGCCTGGACATTATAAACACCAATTAATGAATTCTAGTTTGAAATAACCAACGAGAAAATTTAATGAAAATTAAAAAAATCGTCGGTAATTAAATCAGTTAAAAAAAGTCGTGCTTTCGCCTGAAATTTATATTTACTGAAGTTATCTGAAAATGTGTTAACATGCAACATTCGTAAGTGGCTTCCACGAGATATTTATTTCCGAGATATCGTCAAAAAACCGACGTAACATAATTTTTTATTCTTGTCCCGACATTCGGACCGTTTAAACCGTTTCGCGGATATTTATGTTAATATTTTTGAAGGGTTTTAATTCACTTTTCTGTTTTTCCACGAAACTTGGCAAATAAATCAAGCTTTTGGAGTTGAAGTTTCCCCTTATTTCACATCAGGAAATGGGATGACATTCACAAATAGCGCGTTATCCTTTTTTTAAATTTGTTTGACATCTACTTATGCAAAGCTTGTTGTCTCTCATCATCCTGACATCGTGTCACGGGTAATAAAGTGTGTATTTCGCCAATACTCACTCATATTCCGGAAGAAAATAGCTGATTGCGATTCCATCGCGGGATCTTCTCGCACGTTTCACCGTAACATAAACACCTCGTTCGTATTTTCGGCTTTTTCACGTGTCATTTCGATTGTGAAACTGTCTCGTTGCCTCAAACGGTTATTTGTTTGGATAATTTTTGTGTGTCATGATTGCGCAGGAAATCTCGCGGGTGTTTTTTCAGCGGATTGCTCGTCTGTGGTGTGACATCGAGTTTCGGAAATTTTCACTGACTCCTCAGTGCTCTGTTGACGGCTTTTGAAAACAGACTGGCAAAGAGCATGGGTAGAGCGACGAAGCGCCGGTTTCATTCACCCAAGATACTACCTATATAGATATGTGGTCGTCCAAACGGTTCCTGCTTTTGCTGGCGCAAACGCCAAGCTTTCGAGTCGTTTGGGCGGCTTGAAAACCGCTCAATTCTCTACGATTTTCGATGAGTTGAATTTTTTAATTCGCAATAGGTGACATCCAATTGGACCATATTGGTACCCTGGACGCCGAAAAGGCCCTCGTTAAACGCGGATATTTATTAAAGTGACACTCGGTAAAAAGCTCGTTGGGAACTTAAAAATTTTACTGAATTGGCCAATTAAGGACAATTACGTCGTAAGATTTCCATCCTAACAACTTCATTATTGAAATAAAATGCAAGCAAGACAGGCTGATATCATTTATAACTGTCACTTAAACACTAGTTTATTTTCAGAAAGCTGCGTTTTTCTTATAAGATCGGTTTGTAAAGCTCGGAGTGTAAAAAAACAAAAACTGTCGATAAAATTCTTATTCTTAACAAAAAAGTCTTTTCAAGTAAAAACACTCTTCCTGTGAGAAAATAATTTATATATGTCTGAGGATCTCCACGAAATTAGAAGGCATATTTCGGGAATTAATGGTTTTTTATAAAAAAAATTAGCAAAAACTAATTGTAATAATGTTAGGATTAAAGCTTGACTTTCTATCTCAAAATCTGGTCAAACTTTTATTTTTGTTAGACATTTTTTCTAAAAAATTTTGGCTTTATAGTATCAATTTTTCGTGCTTACTGCCTATAATGAGAATAAAAATTAACTTGATTTCATCATAAAAGTCTTATCTTGTAAAGGTGTCGAAGTATTTTGCACACCAAAAACTTGTCTTTAATTTTTTTAATTACATATTATTTTATTTTTTTAAACTTAACATTGGTTCTGGAGCTTTTATTTTTTTTTAATTTGATTTTTTTGTTTTAATTAAATGTTTTCAAAGCTTGATTGTTTATTTCCAAATTTTCTATTTTAATATATTTCATGTTTTTTTTTCTACATCCAACGTGAATAAATGTATGAAACCAAGTGTTTTTTTCAGAAAATAATAATTAAATAGTAAAAATTAAGACTTGATTTCGTAGAAAATGATGTTATAGGTTACAGGATAAATAAAGCTAATAAATTCGGCGCGACGTTTCAATACTTTATATATCATCTTCAGGCTATAAAAAGGCGATTAGCTTTTTACATAATTGAAGAATTCTTGATAGTTTAATACAAATTAAAGTGTAATAAAAATATGATCGTGTTTTGAAGATGAAAAAAAAATGGTTTGTTTTTGAGTTTTGCATCTTTTTTTGTCAAAATGAAAACTTTATTAAGTCCAGGAATTTTTTTTCGATAAAAATTGATTAAAAAACAAAAAAGTTGTAATCTTTAAATCATGTCCTTTGCATAAAAAAGTTTTATAGTGGGTTGTCATTTGAAAAAGTTAAAAGTTTTACAGAACTCAAAAACAAAACAAAAATTCGAAAAATTTTATTCTTGATAAAACGTTATATTTTTGTAGTACTTTATAATTAATTTCAGTTTTTTCAAAAAACAAATAGTTTACACAAAAAACGTTAGATTCCCTACTTTTTATGTGAATGTTTGTGTTATGTTTTCTCAGTATTATTTCATTGTTTGTTTTTTTGAAACTTTTTTTTAATTCTGTTTTAAAATTCCAATCAAATTTTTAAAAATGACTATCCTAAAACCTTGTATATGCTAATTGCTTATTAATTTATCTTGAAGTTATTAATTGTTTTGGAATTGTCTTTTAAATTTTACAATTCTGCAAAGTTCTGATTTTTTCAAACATTATAAATAATAATACCTTATTGACTTTTTAGATGTTTTTGCGAAAATTGGGAACATGGTATCCATTATTTTAAAAAGTATGATCCTGAGCTTTCACTTTTTAACATTTTATCTTTTCTAATAAAAATAGTACCTATTGCTTATTTTGATCCTACTTTTTTTTAAGTATATTTACTTTAATATTTCAAAAACTTTAGTACGTACCTATGCATATTAAAACTACTGTTTATGTAAAAATTTTAAATTTTATTCATTCGTATAAATTTACCGTTTTTAAACAATTTGTTTCTCCTAAGATTTTTAATTCTTAACATCTTGTTTAATTAAATGCTTATTGTTTCAAAAATAAACAATTGTTTTATAGTTTTCCTCTTCTTTTTCTTCTATTTCTAGGTATTGCCAGTTTTGTCTTTCTGCTTTATGTTTCTTTTTTGTATTTTGAATAAATAAAAAACTTAAAATCAAAAACTTTTTCAGAAAAAAAATTGCGTTTATTTTTAAAAATATCGTTTTGTAGATTACCATAAAGTTAGTTTTTTCTCCTATACATTATTTGAGTTGCTAAAATTTTCGTTTTAAGTTACCCAAAAATTGCGGCTAATGAAAATTTCATCTCGCTTCTCACACTCCTCCATAAACTTTTAATTGGGTTATTTGCAACTCCTTTATGCCACGTCCACGGATATTTATTTAAAATCGACGCAATTTGCCTCAATAAAAGTCCATTCGAACCTTAAAAATTAAACCGAATGAAGCAATTCCGTCGTAAGATTTCCACTTTGTAGCCTCATTAACAAAATAAAATGCAACCACAACCGTCCCATAAACAAAAATAATCACAATTTAAGCTTCAGTTATTTTTCGGGATTGAAACGAAGCTCGCGAAGTGCCAAGGACGTAAGTAAAGATTTAATATCAATTAAAACCGCCATACGCGCGAAAGTTATTGCCCATTTCAAGTGATAGAAGCAGGTGGAGTTTTTAAACAAACGCAATCATAATTTCCGTTTTATTATCATTGTCTGAGGTTATTTTTGCAATTATTGCGAGCTTAAAACGCACGAAATTAATCGATCAGGAGAGTCATGTGTCTATATTTTCCTGCTAAAACAGCCATTAAAAAGTTAAAGCTTCTGTTCCAAGTTTCCACTCAACTTTACAGTCGTGTGGAGAAGCCATACTTCGAACACATCCTCTCAGCTAAGATTCTAATAGTAAATTTTAAAAAAGGCACATTAGGAGGAGAGGAAGTCGGTTAAAGTTATCACTTGGCGTTTTAATCCATACGGGGTTTTACTATAATTTACAGGTCTTGTTTCGTCTTAATTTATGTAAAATGCTTTGCAAATTGCAGAGGATATTCAAGACCAAAACCGGGAAAAATTCTATTGTAATCGTTTTTTTTTTAACTTTTTTGTGTACAGCAATTGAGACAAATGCTAGTGTCTGTCTTTTTCCAGTCAATCTCCATTAAGTGTATTTTGTGTGGATCGCAATAATGATACTTTCATTTAAAATTATGGTCGTAAATTATTGCAAAAAGGAACACAACAAGCACCGATAGAGCCTGAGAAAGTCGTTTGAAGTTATCAGTGACATTTTAATCGTCTCGCGAACATCTCTATATGAAAAATACCAACCGCGTCACTCCTTTTCATGTAAAATCATTGTTGCACTCCTCTTTAGGTAATAAATTCCACTTTCTGTGAAACGTCTCATTCAGAAAAAGAAAAATCGTCGTCGTATCGTCGAGAATGTGCCATTTCAGACATCTTGTCATTTCTCGGATGATTTACTCCCCTAATCTTGATGTTTATTTTCTCCATGTTTATAAAATTCGCATAAGCAGTTGCAAATTACAGGATTTCAAATTACTCTCTGCCGCAATTCAAATTAACTCCAGCCCTCGAACACGGAGATATTGGAGCGAAGGTCGGATCGACAACAGGTTGTTTTTCAGGACTGACTGGATTGACATTGGGGGAGTTTAACTACGAGTACATAAGAGTAATAAACATAATTGGGAATGTTATGTTCATATCGTGCAGCGGTTTTAGTGAATTTCGGTAGCGCACGCGAATTTTATTAAAAAGTTCATGTTTAAATGAGGTTTTTCCATTTTCGTTCTCTACAAGGATTACTTTTAGTGTAAATTTGAGATTAAGGGAAATGGCGTGGTTGTGGTTAATTGTTCGGATTTAGAGAAATTAAGGTCTCTGACGTTGTGTACACATAATTATTGTGCTCTAATATTTAGCGAAATTAATTAGTTTGCAATCTGTAAGGGACATTAATCACGAGAGATTTACTGACAAAATAACTGTTTATAAATTGCATTTTTTTTGAGGCGAAACTCAAAGTACCTAAATGTGGTTTACTCTACATTTTATGTTACTTTAAAAAAATGTGTAATCAGAAACTTGCTTTGTAACGTAAATAAATACGAAAAGCTTTACTGTTTTAACATCAATTGTTGAAACTGATTTTTGTGGGAATTTAAAGTAAATTGTAAGAGATATGCAGAAATTTATTATTCTTTATTTGTTTGGAGTTTCAAATTCTTGTTGTAAAATCAGAATTGACTTTGTACAACTAATTCCAAATACAACCAAAATTCCAGTAATTCCAAACTAATTCCATCAAAGTTTTATTGTTTTTGAATTAATTTTTATAATTCCCAATTGGGAATTAATTATCGTAATTCCAACATATTTCTTTTCTAATTAATTATTATAGTTTGAAGAAATTTGAGGTAATTATCAAAACAATAAATTATCTCCGGTAATTCTAAAAAGAATTCTAGTAGTTCAAAAAAATTCTAGTAATTCTAGAAAAATCTTAGTAATTTACAAATAATTCCGATAATTCAATTCCAGTAATTCTACTATTCCATCGTAATTCCATTGTTTTTAGATTAATTCATCTAATTTTAAATTAATTTCTGTAATTACAAATTAATTCCAACTTAATTTTTGTTACTATCTTCAGTGATTTCAAAAATAATTCCAGTAATTCAAAAAAAAGTGATTTCAAAAAATTCCAATAATTTACAAATAATTCCAAT